AATCATGGAGCAAAGACCCACCTTATCTTAAAAGGACACTTTTATGACACAGCTTTCGTATATTTCCTAGAAATACTTTAAGTCCATCTAGTCAAGGGCCTTATCACAAACAAGATTTAAATTCCGCTCTTTGTCATGAGTTGTGTAGAGTAGTGGTTAGCGTGTTATACTCAAAGAAAAATTAAACTAATACTAAGATTTTTATCCCCCCCCCCCCTTCGAAGAAGGGAGGGCATATTGCTTTGCTGCTGTCTGTCGGTCGGTCTGTCTGTCTGTCGGTCCACCAACAGTTTCCGTTCATTTTCTTCGCAGAGGTTGCACATACTGAAATGAAATATTGTATACAGATTTATCATAAAAATCTAGGTCAAGTTCTGTTTTTGGTACCATCGAGCAATTTTTGACAAAGTTATGCCCCCTGGACTAAAATTCCAATTATTTGCAGTTTCCGTTTATTTTCTTTGCAGATATTGCACATACTGAAATGAAATTTGGTATACAGATTTATCATAAAAATATCTAGGCCAAGTTCTGTTTTGGGTACCAAGGAGCAATTTTTGACAGAGTTATGCCCCTTGGACTTAGAAAAATTCCAATTAATGGGGGGGGGGGGGCATACATGTAAGTGTTTCCCAAAATCTCCTGTTTTATTGCTAAGGTTCGAAACCCAAGAATACCTTATTATTTTTGTTAATAATAAGATAATTTTTGCCGAGAAAATTTTCAACAGAAAAGTTTTATTTGTCATAAATTTCAATATTATGAACTTTATTCTAAATACTTAATTCACAAATTGAACATGATTTTTATATCTTCAAATTTGGCAATGAGTTGTGTCTGCCCTTTCTGCAAAAATAAAATTGTCCAAAAAATAGTGTCATATGCTTGTTTTCTTACTAATCAGCAATGCAATGAATGTTTTGAAGGTGTTGCAAGATATGAAATAGCCACCAGAGATGTTCCAATTTCAAGAATCCAGTATGCGCATCCTGGATTGTTCCGGGAAGTACATACACAATATTAACAATAGCCTTTCCCTGAGATAAAATTGCATATTCCTTGAATATGCTCTAATATTATCAATCAAATCTAAATTCCAACTTTAAAAAAAATTGAGAGAGTTATCTCTCTTGGTTAACTACACTTCTTCATGCATATAATATTTAATATTGGTTGTTCACCTTGTACACTTGTATTTCTCTACACTATTTTTTTTAAAGTTGTGAGAATTAAGTTCATTTCATTGTTAACAACATATATTTATATTAAATTTATCAAATCATTAAAATTTAATCAATATCTTTAATTATTGATATATTGCAAGCTGTAGTATACGTGCATATATTAGGATATCCTGTTTCAAGTATCGAACTTTCAACACATTAAATAATGTTTTCCGAAGAAATTCATTTATTTATCAATAATAAGGTACAAATAAGCAATAGAAAGACCCATGTCGATATTAATAAATAATAAATTAATTAGTTGTTCATTTTCTTTTCTCGGGAAAACGAGATACTGAAAACCATGGAAGACTTTACATCTTTATATGCAAAGAAAAAAATCTACTTTTGCCATAAAGTGTTAATCAACGAGGCATACTTACTTTATAAGGAAGCAAATAATTTCAAAAAGAAAAAAAGGAAACACCTTTTATCAGCGAAAGACGGGAAACCACAACACTAATTTAAGTAAAAAAAATTATACAATCATGTTATCCACTCAAGGCTGGAGACAGGAAATAAAGAAATAACACACTTTAACAAGGTGTGTCAATCCATGTACAACAGCCAAAGAAAATACAAAGAATACAAAGCGCGTGGTTCCAACTTTGTCAGATTATCTGTCAGTTGACATGTTAATGTGATACGACCGGACTTCTGTATGGTCAAACCAATCCATAGCGCATGACTGTGAAATAAGTCCAAAAAGAGTTAGATAACTTCGGACTGTATGAATGAGACAATTTTCTTATACTAGGAAATTATTATATTCAATAATTTTGGGAATATAGAACTAATTAAGGTATGTAGTTCTGTCTTAATTTTTGCAGCAGTAAACAAGTCTGACTATCAGCATTAGTCTTTTGTAAGATAATAAATAAATATTTTTTCAAAAGTTATACGTAATGTCGTTACCTTTCTAGACATTTAACAGATTATTCAGTGATCAATTTATAAAGCAAGACCTTTGAGTTATGCAGGACCAGCTACTATCGCTACCGGATCACAAATTCTGTAAATTCCTGAGAGCTCCTATCATTCCCGTGTTATACTGATAAGTGTTTTTTCATCAATGTGCATATTCACGTACAATTCTCCTTAGCCTGCATGGCGCACAGGATGATCGCCTTCTTTATCACGTTACTTGTCACTTAGTCATTCTGGTACAGCATTGGTGGATTACAAAGTTAGGCATCACTCAGGCAACTTTAGAATTGCTAAGGTACTTGAAAAAAAAAAATATGCAGAAATTACTATAAAATTAACATACCTTTTTCTCTCAAGTGTTATGTTTGTTTGAATTGTTCCATGATATGGCTTGGTTTGATTTAAAATGAATTGTATTTGAATGTACTAAAAACAAATTTCGGATCAATTTGTTTAAAGAATCGACAGAATGGCTATGTATTTCCACACACATGCAGTGCACAAACGATCAAACTTGTATTTGTACACATTATATAATGTTTTCCCTCATGCCAATTAATTAATTGGATTGCCCACCTGTTTTACCTGGGAAACAAGCAGAATGAAAACTCTGGAGGACCTTGCATCTTTACATACTCAAATCTGCTTTTGTTTAAAATATCGAATACATTAATTCGTTCCAAAAATCAGGTAAAAATATCAAAAATGATCCTTTCAAATCACAAAACATAAGTTTAAACATGAAGGTTAGATGTAATGGGAAAAAAAAAATCATTTTCAAGTAGGTGCTGTTGGAAAAAAAAATGCACTTTGCGAACATGTTGCAACAAATTCATATTAAAACATTATTTTGAAAGCAGTTGAAATTGATTTTATAGTGAAGTGTAACAGGAAATCGGACTCCGATTAAAAAACCAAGATGGATTTAATATAAATATTTAATGTACTCAACACACTGAATGTTTCGCTGATATATACCGGTATACGATACATATATCAAATATACATAATGAATATCACGCGAAAGAGTGTTGGTCCGAATAACACAAGGCTTATTTATTTAACTTTCGTCAGGTGAATTGCAGCCTTTTTAAGTACTCATTGATGTTTCACAAAAGTGAAGGAGTTAGTCATCTGCATTGACCAACAAGGTGTCTTTGTTAGGTAAGGTGGATTCCTTAATATGAATGTCTTTTACCCCTTTAATTTCAAGTCACATTATATGTTTTCTTTTTTTTTTTTTTAGTTGTTGTTGTTTTGTTTTTTGTTTGTTTGTTTGTTTGTTTTGGTTTTGTTTTTGTTTTTTTAACCACTTCATTTCAGACAATGACAGTTGTTTAAACTATCCAAGATAAAGACTTAGCAGTACTTTTAATTGGTTATCTATATTTGTCTCTTCGATGTAGTATATGATGGAAGAATAGATATCGATGCAAGAAATCCATGAAGCGGAAGTTTGTAGAAACAGCCTTAAGCTCGTTAAGATATAATAAATAAATTTGAGGTACCTTTATCGCAAGTGTAGTGTTACCGTTCAATATTTTTCCGGTTTATATTATTGGCTAAATGCATACGGGAAAATGCAAAGTAAAGAGGTGTGAAAACAGGCAGCTCTTGTTAATTGTTATATAGTGGAGTCCAGATGAAGTGTTGACTTTAGATCGAAGTGTATGACCCTTTTCGGTAATTAACCTTCTAGTATATAGTAACCTAATGTTCGAGAGGCCATCAACTTGACCGGAAGATAACAGTGTAAACTTCAGCGTATAAAGGGTTCTACAAGGGATTTAACGTACATGAGTGTACGTCAAGAATGTCGGATACCTGAAAGATGGATTTTTATGGACAGGCCATATCTCCTCGCTTAATAATTCATTTACATATGGTGGGTAGATTTTCTCTTCCTTTTTTTCTCTGTTTTAATCGGGTGCACACAAGCTTAGATGAATAATTTTTACAGATTTCTGTGTGGCGTATTACAACTCTACTATTCATATGAGTATCATATTATAAGGATTTTATCAGTGATGCATACAGAAAAAGGGGTTTCATGTAACATCCAATGTACGAGACAATATACGCAGTTTATGTCTGTGGATATATTTTTTTTCTGAAGAAAAAAGTAACTTGGCGCCATTTGTTGAGTTGGAAGGACATATTTACAATAATGATGCACCCATAATAAGTGTTTCTGAATGTTTAAATAAATACTCAATATCCACATCTGTTCCTCGATTTATCCGAAAGAGCACTGAACAATGCAGAGTTTAAGAAAGATTTGACCATATCTACTATGTACATAAATAGAGAATAAAGAGAAAATAATCCCATACTTTGAAAGTTTGAGAAAATGTTTTATTATCCTTTTCTAAGAGATGCCCATCCTTGTGTTTTTATTTAACCGAGAAACACATTTTTTGTTTTGTTAGTTTCTATTTGCTGTCGAATTATCAGAAAACAAGATACATATAAAAGTACATTAGGGAATGTTAATCAATCCCTTTGTCTGGTAACGCTGTTAAAAGAGAGAAATCTAAAAGCCACCCAGGACGAATTCTGTTTTTTGAATTAAACATTAAATAAGGTTCACCAGTGCAAACAGAACTTAAGGCGCTGGGAGTACTAGGATACAATTAAGGAATTATGTTCATAATTTTACACTGGATCACTTGATTTCACATTGAGTTGAAAATTGATTAATTGCCAAACTTTAGGAGTTTTCCGCCCTGATTGAAATACATGCAAACAAAACCAACAAGTAGAGTGCTGTCAGTTTCATTAGCTTCAAACTCCTGGAGTGGAAAATTCGGTACATCTAGACCATATTAACATGGCCAACGTTGTGAGATGCAGTGGGAGATATGGCTAGGAATTTGCAATATCTTTTAAAACATGTTAAGTTGGACTTATATTTCCCTGCATTGGAATAAATTCCATAATGGATGAATCAAATGTCTTCGACACAGTAAATATAATTATTTGTTTCAAGTGATTTTGAGAGTAATGCAGGTAGCTGTATTTTGAATTATTTTCTGTCTTCTTGTTTGAGAGACACATTATGGGATTTTTTAAAAATGTTTCATTGATATTGAATTAAAATAAAACTTTTCTTTAAAAATTACAACTACACCATTATTTTATTTGTTGGAGTTTTTTTTATGAAAACTCTAAAAATATATATATATATATATATATATATATTTGTGTTAATTACTGATTAATTTTAGCTAAGAAAATATGTTTTTAAAATTTTGATATTATTTTTATTTATTGGCATTAGATTTGTTTTCAGCAAACAAGCAAACATCACGAACATATTCGCTGCAACAAAATTATTTTGGTAGGAAAAAAAATTAGGAAATCAATTAACTCATTTCTTGTAAGACTTGTCTATGAAATTAATTACATCTCTTTTTATATAATTATGTATGTTACTGAGATTGTCTTGTTATACGGGAGGGGAACAAATTTAAAAATAGAAGTAGGATAAATAAAACTTCTTAAATCATCATTTTATTGATTTCTAGTGAATATAACTATTCATCAAAAGTATTGCATGTTCATCATTTCGAAACCTTCAAAATCTGCATCTTTATTCGTTTCAGTTTACAGAAAGTCAATTATTTTCTAATGAAGTATGTATTTAGTGTCTCTTTATCGTTCGTTACCACGCGGTAAAATCCTATCAAACTGGATGTTATCTTCTATTTATAAGAGAGAATATCATTGACTGATCGCTTTTGATATCTCATCAGTTATCATTCATAAACAGGCTTGTCGATATAGGAGGTTTTGTTATATACATGTAACTGGATATAATTTGCTATTGATTGTTACCCGTAGGGGTTCCAATATCTGTGTTTGAATCCAACCTCTAGGATCAGAAAAAAAAAACCACGTATCTGAGCAACTATTGATATATATTCTGTAAAATGTTGTTTGTACTGCATGATCTATTTAATTGTATTTAGTTTTCATCACAAGATTGATCTGCTTTATACTGTTTTCAGTGAGACCCAGCTGCTATCTGTGCATGTATAATTGAACGGAATTGAAATATTACACATACTTTATTTATTCTTCCTAGTTCATATTGACAATATATGCAAGGATACTGAGAGATGACGTCTTTTTTCAAGCATGCATTTATACGTTTGTGCCAGAAAGTCAATATAAAGATGTTTAAAATTAATTTTTTACATTACAAATGTTGTTTCAAAAGATTGATTAATCAAGCTGTAAAAAGTCTCAATGAAGTTTTCCTTCATAAATTGATCGATAAATAGGAAATGATATTGATATTAAAGAAGTAACCCAATTCGTTCACTCTGTCTTATTTGTTTAAGTTCATAGACTTGCATAGTTTGTGTAATCTAATTATAGTTAGTGTGTTTAAGATTATTCGTTTGTATCAGAGATAGCAAAGAAGGAACGGTAATGCAAAAAATACATGACTAGGAGGGGAGAGATGCAAGTATGATATATTTCATTAGCCATGTAATCAATATAGCATGATGTCTGATGATGAGGTAACCATTGAATAAATTCTTTAGATAAGATATGATCAACTTCATTACCGGACTGGAGGAGCAATATTCATAGAAATATCTAACAGGAATATCGTAGGAACTCGGAGAAAGAGAGGATGTCTGTGTTAATTACTGTTTCATTCATTTCAGAAGTGATACTGACGTTTCGTGGGTGACGTAGATGACCACGTATGAGCTGTCGCACGCGCCTCCGGCTCACGTCCTCGGTTGTCGTCTGCCTCGCTTTCACTTACATTGTGCTGTTTAATGGTTTGGCATTGTATAGTTTGACCAAATCCACGTACACACCACCATCTGTAGCTGTCAACAGAGGCCGTCTTTACCTGGCATATCTGGGTTTTAAATCTTGGAAATGTAAGACTCCACATTTCTCAAAACAAGCTCTACCTCTTACTGCTTTAGTGAGTTTTCCAGGATCTGGAAATACATGGGTCCGCCATATATTACAACAAGCTACAGGTAAGACTGTAGATAAATAACATTAAACCAGATATTCTAATTTTAGAATTAAAAGAATTTCAGAGAGCATTTATGATTTTGAACTCAAATTTCTTTTACCATTTTTATCTGTAGTAGAAACTATTTCTTTGGAGATAATGCAATTAGATACGAATGACACAAAATGTCTGTAGTAAACTAATCCCAGGTCGGTAGACAAACATCTCTCTTCGTGAGAGTTACTGTAACACAGATGAAAAATTTGAATAACTTTTTGACTCGCAGGTATTAATACCGGAAGTGTCTATAGAGACTATGTTCTGAAGGTTTTGGGATTTCCTGGAGAGGGCGTGCAGAACTCCTCGGTGCTGGTCATTAAGACACACGAATGGGGTGTAACTGAGAGGGAGAAATATCAAAGGGCCATTTTAGTCCTCCGAAATCCCAAAGATTCCCTGCTGGCAGAATTTAATAGAAAGAACGCTGGCCACATTGGTCATGCAAAGACAGAAGACTTCAAACAAAGTAAGTTTCTCTGGAATGAGAGGCACAGTTCTGACATTCCAAGGGGGATACTGAAAAATCGAAAACCGTCAAATTTGATAGCTTGCATGCCACCGCGGTACATTTACAAAAAAACAGTACACAAATTTGGCACAAACATGAAAATGAAGAAATTTGAAACTGAAGCAGGAATTTTCCCTAGATACAATGTGTTCGTTAATTTTAATACACTTGAGGGTATTTTTTTGCCTAGTCAGTTTGTATTTCGATGCATTAGCGCGGGTCATGGTAAATAAAACAATACTTAGTTTAATGTGGTGTGCTTAAGCAAACCATAATTTCGTTCTTCGAAGATTCCAAGCAATCAATATAAACATATGTAACCGATAAGATTGGATTGGAAAGAAGAAAGCAAGAAAAGATCTCAGTGAATAAAGAAAGCAACATAAAGTTCTGTAAAGTAAACATTGTTGTAAACGTTTTGAGAATTGAAGGTCCTCTTCTAGTGTTATCTCCTCAATCATTGGAAATTAATGTAGATTCATACCCTCCACGTTTATACGAAAAAAGTTGGCTGACAATGAATTTATATACTTTCATAATGTAAAACAAAACGAATTTATAAACCTTCAATTTATTCCACTTGAGACTACACGTATCCAGAGTTTAAAGAAGCTAAAACATGCATTCAAAATTTTATCCCCAAGAGGTATTAAAATTTTCATGTGTTACCCTCTTCTACATGTAGATGCAGTATTATTATATTATACTGAATATTCTATACAAATAATGGTGAAGCGTGCACGCATAGATTCCGCGCAGTCAATATTTTTTTTCGGAATATCACCCGTCGTCAAGCAATGTTGACTGTTGCGAAGTTCTATCGCGCTAAAGGGCGTCGTTTCATCATTCACAGGGTAGCGAATATTTATATCATACTTTCATGTAAATCAGTTATTAAAATCTGTTTCTTCGAGAAACATTTGTTTAAAAAACAATAATTCCCGTTGAATAATGAAGTCACGCCCTCCAGCTTAGCAACAGTCAACATTGCTTGACGACGGGTGATATTCCAAAAAATATTGACTGCGTACTGTAATATGTACATGTAACATGTTTTTGTATTAATTAGTGAAATAGAGATGAAGAAAGAAACCCAATTATTAGAATTTTACCAAATGCAGTAAAAGAAGGTGCGATTTTTAACATAAATACATGTATACATGTATATATACATGTACATGTGTCTAAAAATAGTCAGTTGTCAGTGAGTACTCGACAAATGAGACATTAGCAATTGAAAATTGTTAATTATTGATTTCAAGACACATGTACTTGAACCGGTATATATTTTCTGAGAGCATTTTTGGATCTTGGTTCCTAGATATGTATATAAATTAAGCACAAATTATGATTCAAGCATCTTTTTTATTGTGTTACAGAATGGATACCATACGTCAATAATTCGGCGAGGCACTGGTTAAATATGACTAAGGACTGGCTAAATTTCACCGGCGATTTACACATTGTGAGATACGAACAGCTCAAAGCTGACCCTATCAACGAAATTAAACGTTTGCTTAACTTTCTACAAATACACATATCACAAGAGGAGTTGATGTGCGTTTATCAGAATATGAATGGACGGTTTAAACGACCTAGGAAGAATGTTACAGACTATGGCCCATATTCATCCGAAATGAGGAGTATCTTAGTGCAATATGAACAGCAAATTAACGAAATAATTGACCAGCGATACAGATATACACCACCAAAAAATTATACATGAGTCCTTTTCTTTTTGATTTGATTATTTTTAAAGTTAGTTTACATGTTTATTATAAGTGGAATAAAATATGACTTTTACGCAATTTCTATGAAAAGTTTCTGTTGGTGCCCTTTTTTACTGTATAAAATTTAATATTTTCAAAAAAATTTAAACAAATTTCTTAAGTTATATAATTCACGCGCCTGCATTGTGTAAAATAAAGTTTATCAAGGGACATAATTTAAATTCTAAGAACTGTCTTTTCCAAAATTTTCAAGAAACCAGATAACGTATATGGTTAGTAGTACAGGCAGCTGGGGTATGAATTTGCACCCATCCTTTCTGAAGGGGGGGGGGGGGGGGGTGTGTGCAAATTACTAGTATTTTTATAAACCATAGAGAGGTATGGTGGCATATTTCTGCCCCCTACATGCAAGATAAATTATGTAAACATGCAAGAAAAGTATGTCAACATGCAAGATAATTATGTCAACATGCAAAATAATTATGTTGACATGCAAGTTACCAATCTTTTTTGAGAATCTAATTTTAATGTTGGTAAAATTACTTACTAATGCCAGTATTCGATATCATACAAGCAAGCTGCAACAGAATTATGTTGACATGCGACTTATTTATGCTAACATGCAAGATAATTATGTTAAAATGCAACTTATTCATGTTAACATGCGTCTTATTTATGTCAACATGCAACTTATTCATGTCAACGTGCGAGTTATATTTTAAGAGCCATTCTCTGTAATGACTTGAACTTTTATATAGGAGCTGTGGCACGCATAGTCTCAGAATTTCTCCAAACTCTATATGATAAAAGTCTTTGACACCATAAACTCAAATCAGGCAAAAATTGGTTGCTATGTGTCTTGGTTACCATAGCAACATGTCCTAAAGTTTGAAAAATGGCATTTTTCAACATCTTCAGAGTCCCACAGTTAACGTTTGCAGCAAAGCAAACAAGTGGCAATGACTGTTTCTGAAAGTTGAAGGCCTGGTGTCTTAAATGCATGATAAACATGTTTGGTAAATCATCTATAACATACGTTACTATGGAAACAATGTATTCAAAAGTAATAATTTTGTTCATTTAATTTTATAAAGTCATACACTTGAGAATAAAATCAATTATAGGTTGAAATGCAAGCAAATAATAGAGAAGAGATCCTTGTAACATATACCAAGGACAAAATATGATATTTCTTATAGGTTGGCAATGGTTGCCATGGTTTTAATACCACGAAGGGATTTTAAATTTACTCTCTTATTGTTTTAATCTTATCCTATCTTTTTAAAAAGCATATTTCTATATAACTGATGATCAATTTTTAAAGGCCTTGGTGTGACCCTAATTTTCACATTTCAAAAAATTCAACTTCTATCCTTTAAATAGTGCGTTGCTATGGGAATAAGGCGAAAAAACATGCATAAAAATCTAAAAAATACTCTGTTTCCTTGGATACGTACCGTTGTATGTAGATTCCCAAAACTTTAATGATTGATATATGTGAACAAATAACCTGACTTTCAATTTTGACTATCACCCAATCTCTAACTGCATGCAAAAAGCTGGCACATAGGGTCTAATACTGACAAAAAATTAACAAAATCGAACATTTTCACTTCTTGGTAACCATAGCAACAGTGTTGTATTTTTCAACAACCTTTATCAATATATGATATTCAACTTTAGTTCTACGAGATAAGTACTATTCAAGGTGATTCAAATAATATTTTCTTGATTAAAAGGTTAGTAAATTCCTAAAGCAGCAAAAAAAATATCACTTTAAACAACTAGTACGTTGTTTCCATGGTTACACTGGAAAGTAACAATTATTCTCAATTTTTCTTATGTTGTCGGTGTTGCAAGGTCCTAAGGATGCATATGTGCCAGTCATGAATTTTATTGTTTTTCCTCACGATAGTAGCATTAACCCAATCATAGCAACAGATTTTGCATGGTGACACTGTGTTACCATGGCAACCATGAACGTTATTTTTAGAATAATATTACCAATACCTAATTATATGAGGTCAAATATTTTTCATTATTTTTCTTACGTTGTTGATTGAGTTTGATCATGTAACATCTATCATTTGTGACTATAGAGCGTTTTTCAGCATTTTTCAGCATCTAAAATGTATTCCAAATGTACCCATGGTTACAACTTACTTAGAGATAAATTCTAAATAGTTTTTTATAGCATAAGTGGCAACAAGGTGTCATGTTTCTGGGAGAATGGTTTGTTTGGTTTTCTCAGTCTTTATTAAGGCTTAATGAAGATTTAAAGTAGCTGAAAATCTCAATTTTTTCAACTTTTCTGGCTGTTACCATGGCAACCAAGACACATAGCAACGAAATTTTATTTGATATATGTTTCTGGTGTCAAGTTGTAATAAAGGGCAAAGTTTCTTCAAAATCGGTGACCATGCGTGGCAAAGAAGTTTAAGTGGTTACAGAGAATCGCTATTAACATGCAAGGTATTTATGTCAACAGGCAAGATAATAAGTTGCATGTTAACATACATATCTCGCATGTTGACGTAATTAACTCGCATGTTAACATAATTATAGTGCATGTTGACATAAATAAGTTGCATGTTGACATAAACAAGTCGCATGTCTACATAATTATGTTGCATGTTAACATAATTTATCTTGCATGTAGGGGGCGGAAATATGTCACCATAGAGAGGCAATATCAAAAAGAAAATGAAATTTCAAATTTTTCATAACTTTTCACTTTGCTTTTAAAATTTCCCTAATCGAAGAAAAAAAAACAATATTATCCTACATGCATGTAACTGTTATATTATTTTGAATCTTTATCAGAACAAAGACTTCTGGTTTTACCTTTGAAGTAAAATTCAGATGAAGACTTTTTATCAGCATAACCTGCATTTGTTTTTAATTTTGAATTATAGTTATGCATGGGACTGCCGACAAAAAAGGAGTTCAATGGGAATTTCTCTACAATTCTCTTGAAAGGTTACATAGACAGCACATTAAAATAAATCAGTTATTGCATTAAAAAAGACAGCTATTACATAAAAATAAACCAGTTATTACATTATGTACATCAGATATTTCTTCTGTATACCTTATCGAGAGACGTGAAGATCATAACAATACATTAGTGGAAGAGATGTTAACGGTCTTTTGGATATACATAATAAAATGAAATATAGACAACTTATTGTTCCTCATATCTGCTTCCTCTAAGATGAAAAGAAAAAAAGAGGGAAAAAGTGACAGTGTGTATGTCATAGCTTTGTGAATTTCGAGTCCTAGTACTTACGTCTGTGTATTGTTGTTTAATGGACTTCACGTAACGTAGCATGCGTGAGATAACCAATATAACTATTGATCCAGATTAATTATCATTAAACTATAGTGAGATTAGCAATCAACATATCCTTAAAAGTATAAGATCAGTATATCTTCAATTGCTGCTCGACTGTGTTAACCCAGATTTTCGTAAAATATAGCAAACTAGAGCAGAATATTAAAAACAAGATGTGTTTGTGAAACACTGATGCCCCCGTATGGCAACTTATAGCAAAGGTTAAACTTTCTCAAATGCAAATCAAATATGTTGGTACCCAAAGTAAGGTCTTGTCTCGAGGAATATACCTGTGAAACATAAAAGCCCTAGCAGCAACCATTGAATAGATATAGAAAAGGTTAAAGTTTTTCAAAAGTTAGTCAAACATCAAGGTCTAGGTCAAATGGTCCAAATTAATGGTGCCTTAGGAAAGGCCTTCTCACAAGAAATATACAGGTGAAATATGAAAACTGAAGCACCAATCGTTCAAAACTTATGACCAAGGTTTAAGTTTTTCAGAAGTAGGTCAAACTCCAAGGTCAAGGTCAATGGATTACAATTGTTGGTTTCCAAAGGAAGGTCCTGTCACAAGGATTACATATGTGAAGTATGAAAGCCCTAGCACCAACAGTTCAAAAGTTATGGCCAAGGTTAAAGTTTTTCAAAATTAGGTCAAACTCCAAGGTCAAGGTCAAAGGGTCAAAGTTGTTGGTATTCAAAGGAAGGTCTTGTCACAAGGATTACATATGTGAAGTATGAAAGCTGAAGTACCAATCGTTCAAAAGTTATTGCCAATATTAAAGTTTTTCAAAAGTAGGTCAAACTCCAAGGTCAAGGTCAAAGGGTCAAAGTTGTTGGTATCCAAAGAAAGGACTTGTCACAAGGATTAAACATGTTAAGTATGAAAGCCTTAGCTCCAATTGTTCAAAAGTTATGGCCAAGGTTAAAGTTGAATAAAATTTTGCAAAACTGGGTCAAACTCCAAGGTCAAGGTCAAAAGATCAAATAAAGTGGTACCCAAAGAAAGGTCTTGTCACAAGGAATACACATGTGAAATATGAAAGCCATAGCTCTAACCAATCAAAAGTTATGGGCAATGTTAAAGTTTTTGCGGACAGACAGACAGACAGACAGACAGACGGACGGACGGACAGGGCAAAAACTATATAACCCCGAATCTTCGATACGGGGGCATAAATATGCCATCTGTACTAAACAGGTTCAATAAATTTCTTTATAATTATATGTCACCTATATAATTTAACAATGACCATAAACTGACATTAAGTACAGGGTGGAGACAGATTACAAATATAGTTAAACATATGTGCATACGTGAAACAGAAAAAAGTACACAGTCAAAAAGCTATCGATGAGCTAACCAGGAGAGTCAATTCTCTCAAAGATAATTTTTATAAATTTACACAGTTTTATCAATTTAACTGTATTTTTTGTATTAAAAAGATGATCAAACTTATAAACATTTGGATATAAATAGTAATACTTTGATATTAATGATAACCTTGATTTCAAAATAAATGGATCATTACAATTAAATAAGTACAATGATATTCATTCACCAATTTCATTTTTGGAACATAACTTACAAATTCTATTTTCTCTTGGCACATTTTGCCATCTCCCAACTTCAATCGGTAATTTATTATTACAAGTTCTAAACCTACAAAATAATTTCCAGTACTTACAAGGCAAAGATACTAAATACTTTTCTAAACAAAATGACCTACATAAACATGGCATT